CTTTCTAGCATGGAGTAGAACAGAATTAAAAGGATCGAATATGAGTGGTGCCGCAATTCCTATTTTACCCCTCACTAATATACTTGAATGAGAACAGAAGTAAAACTTCAATCATGAATTAAAGATTGACATTTTCCACATATCATCCCCAACTCCAAAATGATGATCTCAGTTCCAGTTCAAGGATGTTATACAGTCTCTGCAATTTATGACTAGCTGTAGAGTTCTTCATAAAATTACTTCAGATTATGTGAGTAGGCATTATGGGTTGTAACAATTAAGAATCTAGTTTCAGGGTGTTTTTTTTTTTTGTTTTTTTTTTTTTTTTTACCTGAAATTGGAGTTAAAAAGTAAAATTGGAGTAAAAACTCTTGCCACCCATCCATCCATCCATCCATCCATCCATCCATACATCATCCATCCATCATCCCATCCATCCATCCTTTCTTCTATCCTTCCTTCCATGCTTCCATCCCTCCATCCATCCATGCTTCCATCCATTCCATCTATCCATTTATTGAACAGATATTATTGAGGCAGGGGACTATAAGAATTAACAAAACACCAAAATCCCTTCTCCCATAGAGCTTACATTCTAGTGGATAGAAACAGGGTAAGCAAGCAAACAGCAAATATATAAAATATATGACATACTGATAAACAAATGCTAGGAAGAAGAAGAAAGCACAGAGGGAAAGAAGAAATAGCAGAGGAGATGGGTTAATTTTAAATAGGGTGATGAAGAAAGGCCTCTCTGAGAAGATGGTAAATCAGCAAGGAAATTAAAAATACAAGTCAGAGAATTATTCTAATATTTGAGGGCTGAGCATCCCAGGCAGTGAGAATAGCAAGGCCAATAGCCCTGGGGCACAAGCACCTCTCTTGTGTAATGTTTTAGTGATGGTCAAAATCTTCTTGGTCCCCAAAATCTTCTTGGTCTCCCTAAATTATCTGGGGGCTGATGTTTTTGAACCAACTAAAGTGCGAAGGCAGCACTATAAAATTTTAAGGGTGCAAAACTTTCATGAAATTTCTGGGAAAGCACTGACAACAAATGAGGAAAAACGAATTAGGTATAATTTAAAATTAAATGTAATCAAATTCCACTACATTGTATATTCAGAATAGTATTTCTAAAATTAAAAGGCTTGTTAAATGAGAATAATTTCAAGTAAAAGTGTCCTTTTCATTTGGTTTTCCCAGTGAATGCATAAAATGAGTTAAATGTCTGTTATTTTTTAAATCCTTAATACCTCTCTTGATTGTAAAAGTGCATTTCCTATTGGTGGAAAGTTTGAAAATTATATAAAAGAATAACAAAAATAAACTTGTTGCCATATAACATTGAAAAAAACCCTGTTAATATTAGTATCTTTCCAGATAGATTTTCCTTTTATTTCTAAATTTTGTTGGTTTGACAGTTAAAAAAAAAAAAAAAAAAAAGCTTATTTTAATTTGCATTTTTGTTACTAGTCTGAACAATTTTTCATGTCATTTAATGGTCAGTTTTTATGTACCAACTTTCCTTTTGGCATCTTAGATTTTTCTTACTGATATGAATAAGCTCTTTTGATTGTAAGAAAATTGCAAAATGGCTTTGTCCAAGTTTGTTTGTCTCCTATTTTTGTGTGTGTTTGTTTGGCTGTTTTTGTTTTGAGACGGAGTCTTGCTCTGTCGCCCAGACTGGAGTGCAATGGGGCAATCTCAGCTCACTGCAACCTCCGCCTCCTCGGTTCAAGCGATTGTCATGCCTCAGCCTCCGGAGTAGCTGGGATTACAGGTGTGTGCCACCATGCCCAGCTAATTTTTGTATTTTTATTAAGGAAAGAGATGTTGTTTCACCATGTTGGCCAGGTTGATCTCAAACTCCTGACCTCAAGTGATCCACCCTCCTCAGCCTCCCAAAGTGCTGGGATTACAGGTATAAGCCACCACCACTGGCCTAGTTTTGCATATTTTTATGTTCAGAGTTTACATTTCTATAGTCATGCACATTCATTAAAGCAAAAAAAAAAAAAAAGGCTTATTTGTAACCATCTTTACTCTTCAGGGTCCTTTCAAATGTTACTGAAAACCTTTTTCTACAGGAGCCTCTCTCATCTGTTAAATATAATATGCAGTTAAATCTCACAATAATGCAGTAAGTAGAGTCAAAATAATTTTTAAATATTTCATATAGCAACAGCCTCACTGTGTTGCCCAGGCTGGTCTCAAATTCCTGGCCTCAAGCAATTTTCCTGCCTCAGCCTCCCAAAGTGCTGGTACTACAGGTGTGAACCACCAGGCTTGGCTGGGTCCAAATTTTTAATCATGTAAAATGCAGCGTTGTTGCAAGGTTGTTGAAATGACTGGAGCAGCCCTCAATAGTCAGGCATTAAGGAGTCTGGCTGGGAGATCCAAATCCCTTTAGGTCCCGTTCTAGTCTGGCATCATCTGGCCAGCATTTGCCGCATCTCTCTTAAATACAGCAGGGTAAGTCTAGCCCTCTGGACTACCTGGACCCGGCAGGACAGTCACAGTGATTCCAGAATCTCCATGGTAGTTGCTACCCATTTGTCCTCTCTTAGACAGTGAGTGGAGAGAATACTTGGAACATAAGAGCCTCACTCCATGCCTCCCTGCTTCCCACGACAAGCTCTCCCTTTTCCACACTGACCTTACTTACCATCTTCCCCTCTGTGGTTGCTCCCCTTCCTTTCTCTCCATAAGGCAAGTTCCCACATTATCATAAGAGTTACTTAACACACACCTGTAGTATATACCTTATATTCTCTTCCCCAAAATGGTAGCTTTGGTTTAGTTGATGTTGATGGTGGCTTTATTTCCAGTGAATTGGGACAAAATAGAGAATAAATTTTAGGATGGAGTCATTGTATTTGTTACAGCTGTGACATTGAGAACCCTAGGCTGGCAAGGTTCTCATTACTCGAGATATAAATGCTGAAAATATAATCAGAAAACTGGTTGGGTGAGGTGGCCGTGCCTGTGATCCCAGAACTTTGGAAGGCAGAAGCGGAAGGATCACTTGAGGCCAGGAGTTTGAGACCCGCCTGGGCAACACAGCAACATAGCAAGATTCTATCTCTGTAAAAAATAATTAGCAGGACATCATGGCCTGTGCCTGTAGTCCCAGCTACTCTGGAGTAAGATGTAATCATGCCACTGCACTCCACTCCAGCCTGGGCAACAGAGCAAGACTTCTCTACAAAGACAAAAAAACAGAATAACTAAGAAGTTGCTTTTTAAAACACAGCATTTCTCCATATTAGCTTTTAAAATTTACCTCTATTTGATTAAATTCAAGTGAAACCAAAAAAAAGTCACACAGTAGAAACCCGACTGTTTTATCCTATAACCTAAGCTTTTTATCAAGTCAGTCCTAATTACATTCACATGAAGAAGAAAATTTTCACAAAATGCTCACTAAAGAGATATTACTGGGCTCTGGGTTGAAATTGCTTCCTGTGTGTCAACTGTATACATTTTATATACATTTTAAAAGCACCTAGTCTATGAGATTGTGTGTGGATGTGTACATATATACTAAAAATACAAAAATGTAGATGGGAAGTACACCAGTCAAAGTTCCAGCCAGGCGAACAGAAACTAGGCTAAGATTTTAAAATACTGGATATTTGATTCAAGTAACTGGTTATAATAAGTGATCAGTTACACATGATGGAAGAGCTGGACTATCAAAAGGAGACGATGAGGCAGTTTAGCAGCAGCAGGAAGAGAACCCGGCCCTAAGGAAGAGGGTCAAAGAAAGAGAGCTGCTTCGTCATCCCAGAAGCTTTGTCTGTTAGGAGACAGAATCAAGGTGGAGTCTGCCTGGAAAAAGCTGGGCCCACAGAGGAATGTGACTTCTACTGGAGATGCCACTCAAGGTCAAGGGACAGGGAGAGAGGGTGAGAGAAGCGCCTGGCTCTTCCCTTCTCCATACCTTCAGGCTCCTAACAGTAACTCTCACTGAGCAATCCCAGGGAAGTCGTAACATAGCAAGGAAGCCTGAGAATGTAGGTGTATGTACCCCCCAGCTCCAACCAGAGGATGCGAGGACTCACCAATTTAGGATAGGCATTTACCTCTGGGGAGGGAGACAGGGAAATGGGGACAGGGAGAGGGACAAAGTGGTTCTTGACTATATCAGTAACCCCTAATTTCTTTAATTTTTTTTTTAAAAGGTTTGGAGCCGATATGGAAAAATGTTAGCATTTGTTTTTGTTTTGAGACAGGGTCTCTCTCTCTGTGTCATGAGGCTGTAGTGCAGTGGTGCAATCTTGGCTTTCTGCAACCTCCACCTCCCACCTCAGCCTCCTGAGTAGCTGGGACTACAGGTGCGCACTAACACACCCAGCTAGCATTTGTTAATATTATCAGGTGGGCAGCCAGGTATTCATTAGTTTATTTTCTGTACGTGCCTATATAGTAGGAATATTTCATAAGAAGCAATTATTATAGGAAAAACAGAAATGTTCCAGATTAATGGCAATAATAAGCATCTTTATTGTTTTTCACCCCATTTCCCAAGGAAATGCCACACCTCTCTCAATGAACAGTAGCATCTTCGTGGAATTTGCAGGCTCTGCTATTGAGTCCTTGGCATGAGGGTGTATTGAAGGCAAGGTGGGAGAGCAAGACAGGGAGTGAATGGAGAAAGGCAAGGAGGAAAGGTGGCAAGAAAAGACTCGAGAGGAAGAGGATGACCATCAATTGCTGGGAGCTCTCCCAGAGCCTGCCTGCCTTTGAAACTTGGTTCAGTCACTTACTACCTGGGTGGCTTTGAGCAAGCTCCTCCTCCCTGCCCCCCACCTCCATTTCCTCTCCCAGCAAATGTGAATAATAAGATGCTAAGCGTACCTTATTTGGAGGATTATTTTGAGGACTCAATGACTTCACCCACAGGAAAACACTTCAAATTGTGTTGGCACATAATATACTCTCAGTACATTTTGGTTGTGATAATTATTTTTTATTATTTGTCTTTACACCCTCAGTGCTATGATAATTATTTTTTATTATCTGTCTTTATACCCTTAGTGCTGGCAGAATTTCTGTTGCTTGACAAACATTTGTTGAGATCAGATAAGTGGAAAAAATTGTCATTTGTTCATTCAAGCCATGCTTTTCTGTGATATTCTGATCCTAGTTGAACATACAGAAATAAAAATCTAAAACAGCACCTCGATTCTGTCCTACAACAGGACCAAGTTCACTGTGACCTCAGATAAGCTTGGCTAAAATAGAACTTGAGTGGAGATAGTCACACTTCAGCGAAGAGAGAGAATCCCCTACGTAATGTCACCAGGAGAGTCAACCTCAATATTCTGCGTGGAAGGGATGTTCCTGCAAATGAACGGAGCTGCAGAAAAAAAAAAAAAAAAACACAGAGAAACTATGTTCCATACAAGCAACAACTCTGGTTGAGAAGGCATTCTTCTCTAGTGGATTCTATGGTATTCATGCTCTCTCAGCCTCCTCCCTGCAAGAACACAAGAAGGGTGCTCACACCCTGACCTTCTCTCAAATCGATATGAGGGCTTTGCCAGGAAGGAGGGCAGGCAGTGACCAGGGCACCACAATAAACTCGAAATGACAACTCAGTAAGCCTGGCGTTAGACAAGGTGCCTTATAAGGCTTGTCCCAATCCACTCTCACAACATCGTGAGGTGGGAAACAACAGCAGAATTGACAGCTTAGGGATTGTTATGAGTATTAAACAAGATCATAGCTCCGGCAAAGGGTTCGGGACCCTGGCACATTCTAAGCTAAAGTTCAATGGATGTCAGCTGTAATCAGTATTATCATCCTACTTTATAGGTCAAGAAACCAACTTGGAAAAACTAGGAAATGTCCCCAGTGTCACACAGCTAATAAACCAGTGGTAGAGTTGGATTTGAAGCCTGGTGGATTTACTCCTGAGCCCACCCACCACTGCTTCCACCGGAAATGATGTTCATAGGAAGGTAAGCAGTTTAGTTTGGGGGATAGTCCCATAGGGGTGGGCAGGATAGATATGGAATATCATGACATGCAAGCAATGCTTGAGTTCTTAAAACCATTTTTAAAAGGTGAAAAATCATTTTTGGCTATAGAAACACTGGAAGGGATTCAAATTGTCATTGAATTACAGACCTGGCAGTAATAAATGTCAGACAACTATCTTTGATATATTTAATTGACTACATTAATCATAAAATACTGATGGAAAAGAGATGATTTAGAATGTCTGCCCAGCCAGAGTGAAAGCTATTTCTTCAACCACTTATATAAGATTTAAAGTAAAGTTACTACTTTACTTTAGTTACTACTCCATTAGGAGGCATTTGGAGATTGTTGCATCCAGCCTCCCTGGCCTTCTTGCTTCAATGCTCTAAACACATTCTCACCTCAGGGCCTTTGCACCTGCACCTGCTATTTGCTATCACTGCCCAGAATCCTCTTCACCTAAATGTCTATTTGGCATATCCCTCACAGCAAAGCCTCCCTTGACCCACCCCATACAAAGGATCGGTCCCACTAACACCCACCACTTCCTATTCACTTCGCCCTACTTTATTTTTCTGTCTAGCATTTGTTACTGTCCGACATATATATTTTGAATTGAATTATCTCTATTCTCTCTTCTTCCCTCCCTCCCTCCCTCCCTAAGCCCGTGGAGGCAGGAACTTTGTACAGTATGATAACCCAGGCATGCAGAAAATGCCTGGCACATAGATGACCATTAGATATTTATTGAATGAATGAATAAATGAATGCTCTGCCTCCTACCTGTTGATAACATATCTTCTCTTACAATTCTAGCTCCACATCCAGAAGTTTAGACAATGAGCAGCAATTAGATAGGTGTCCCTCACAGTGATTTCCAGGTACCCCAATTTTAACTTTCAAAACTGCTCACAAAATAGTGTTTGAAGCCAAAGGTAGTCCCAGCAGCATTCTAATCCTTCCAACTAACCCTCTACCAGTTTAGAAAAACTCCTGGCAATCCTCCTAGTTAACTGCATGCCACTTACTGCTGTATGTTACAGGCCCTCCAGTTTCTGTTGAAGCTGAGTATGGTTGCCATCTCCTCATCACTCAGTTTAAAGTCAAAGACCTGGAAAGGTAGGAATTTCAATACATCATCGGTAAGGCAGTTACTGTTGTGGTTGGAGACTGCCAGCCATTCTAGCAGGGAGTGAGCTCACATTCACAGCACAGACTGGCCACAGGAGTTTTTCCCATTATATCCATGGGATACCAATTTCTGAAATTAGATCCTATGCAAAGACTGCAATATTTGTAGTGTTCAGTGTTCCCGGAGGAAGGGAGACCAGGCTCACAGGCACTAAACCCCAGGTGTGGACAGGCCCTGTGCTCCATGATGGGCCCTTCCAAAGGACAGTTCTCTAAGGACAGATCACACCTCCTCTGCTGCCGGGAGGTGAGCAGGGAGGCCAAGACAGTCTGCTCTTGTGTGTGGCCTAGGACCTATCTGCTTAGGGACAACTGAGGGTCTTTTCAGTAGTGTGAGGCACAGCTGTGCTCAGATCAGACAGGGCTTCACCAGGCACTGCTCCCAGCATGTCATTAGCCCATGGGTCATTCATCTAAACTCTACTGAGGTTAGCTCCCTGGGCTGGAAAATGATAGGATGGTGGGAAAGGAGGAGACCCACAGACATTAAGAAGCCTAGTGAGAGGTCCGCATGTCCCCTACTCCACTGAGGAATACCAGGGCCGACCAGCCAAGATCTTACCTGAATGTTCTCAACAATGCGTGCTGGTGTGACAGACTTGGGGATCACAATCACATTCCTCTGGATATGGAAACGGATCAGAACCTATGCAGAAAGGGGATATCATGTTTCCTCTCAGCTACCAGGACCCCTTCTTTTATGGAAAGGAAGAATAAAACATCTCCTCAGCTCACTGTGGCTTCAGCTATAATCGCTAATATTGACTGAGCTAATAAGCTATTAGACATGTGCCAGTCCTCCGCTTGATTCTCTCCTTTCATCTTAGGGACAAACCTGTGATCTTCAGTTTTTAGGAATAAAGAAAGTGGCCTGGGGGTCATAAGGCTGATAAGTGGTAGAGTTGGCATCTGCACCCATATCCCTAAACTCCAAAGCCATGCTTTGCCACTGAGCTGTAGGGCTTAACAGGAAGCTGTGAGACAGAAGCTATCTTTGTTCCAGTGACAGCTCCTGTGTTTCCTAGAGGTTCCAGCAGACTTCGAAGGAAACACGAGGGCTTCAGCTCCAGTTTTCTTCTCCTTTAAGGAGTTAATTGAGGATAACACAGAAATGAAACATGAGACTAGAAGAATGAGTTGTTGGATAGAAAAAGAAAAACATGGTACCTGGGCTGCAGTTTTTTTGTGCTTTGCAGCAATCTCCTTAATCTTGGGATCCTCCAGCAGAGAAGGGTCCTCTGGCTTGGCCCTAGGGGCAGAAAAAGATAACGATGTGAACAGTCGCCATGGTTACCATGTGCAGATGGACACCACTCCAATCAGGGTTTCAAGAGTGATCATCAGAGCCTCTCCATCTGGAAGACAGGCGGGAGGACCTGGAAGCTTGGGTCCTTCCCACGGGCTCTCAGCATTTTGCAAAGGCTGGTTCGCCCTTGGGTGGCTGAAGTGGAAATACTCCCAGAGGGTCAAGCATGTCACTCTTGTTTGTTTGTGTGTTTAATTTCCATTTTTTCCCACTTTCATCCCATTTAGGTGTACCAAACACATTACCTTAGACACATTTTTCTTTCCAGTGACTTATGGTCTCATACCAACATTTACCAATTATAAAATTATGTTTTTAAAATTATCAAGAGAAAGACCCACCCCTTGGAAGGCTCACCAAGGTCTATCCGGAGAGCCCAGGGGGCTGTAGGCTGTAACGGTGATGCCCTTGGAGTGGCAGTACTGGATCAGTTTCTCCTGTGTGAGGTAGGGGTGGCACTCAACCTGCAATAGCAAACAATCCTCAGCATGGGGGAAGGCGGCTTGTTTTTTGAGTTGTTCATAGGGAGTTCTACACACACAAAAAGACAACCAAGCAAAGGCCAAACACCTGCCCACTGATATACTTGCTAAATCATCCATGAGATCAGCCTCACACCTCCCCAAAGTATCCTGATCACTGACCCCTGGGATGAGACTCAGTACATAGCACTGGACGTTCCTCCCAATGTTTAAAACAGGGCAAGACCCTTACCCTTATACCACACAGAATTTACCTGGTTAGTCACTGGTTTATATTTCAGTCCAGGTTTGTTTAAGAGCCTCTCGATCTGGAAGTGGTTGAAATTGGAGATCCCAAGGGCTTTCACCAGCCCTGCATCCACCAGCTCCTCCATGGCCTGTCATAGAAAACAATACCTTTTGGGCAGCCCCAGAGGGACTCCAGGGACCCTGGCTTGCCTTAGTCCTCCCTGGGGCAGAAATTGCTTAGGATCTACTGCAACAGTTAGTACAACCATTCACAGGAAATTTCAGTTCAGGGCCTGGGTAACCATCAGTGACTGGTTCCAGCCCTACCGTCCCTCCTTAGCCCAATTAAACTAGGAGTAACAGGTAAAGATTTTATGTGCTTGCCACTCTCACCTTACTCGTAAAGAGATACATAAAAAATTATACTTCTGTACATAGGGGAAATATGAAAGTTTTGTCATGAAAAAATAAAGTATAAGTCAAAATTGACATTTGCAAGTTGATGAGATGATTTGATTTTTAATTAAGCCACATGATAGCAGGGAGCTACTGTTGTGTTTGTGCATTGTACACCCAGACCTGGGCAAGCTGAGTTAGTTGGGAAGAGGCTGCAGCATGTGGAGAAGCCTCATTTGTGGATTCTGAATCAATCTCTCCCACACCAACCATGGTTTGCTTTGCAGGAAAGTCATGCATCTAGATTATGCCCTGGCAGGGGCACCCGACCAAGAAGTTATGTGGTGCTGAAACCTGACCCACTGCCTGCATACCCAGCCATGCTTCCTGGTACAGAAACTACAGATGTTTCTATACCCAAGGAAGGGAATATTTGTATACTTATTAGCCTATATTGGGCATTTTCCAAACTTGCCCAGAGATATCATATATGTTAGCAGCAGCCTCCAATGCAACATGTATTTATTAGCCATCGATTACATGTCCAGATCCTGCCCAGAAGTTGTCAGGATGTAAAAGTATACAATGTGCTTCCTTCTTCTGGGATTCTCATAGTCTGATTAAAGTGATAGGGTTCCCTTCTGTGGAGCAATCAACCATGACACTGAGGCTGCCTCGGATAACATGACAGTGGTATAGACAGAGTCAGGGAGGGCAGAGAAGGAAGAGATTCACACAGCCTGCAGTTGTCAGGGGAGACCTTCAGGTAGAGCTTAAACTGAGCCTCAAAAAAAAAAAGAGAGAGAAAAGAGGGGAAAAGCATGAGCATATGAGACAGGAAGATAGGAGCAAAGGCTCAGAGGCAGGAATGAGCATGACATGTTCAGGGAACACTTTATCCAGCCCTTCTCAGCTTTGGCTACAATTTGGAACCACCAGAGAGCTTTAAAAAATGCTGGCTGGATGCAGTGCCTCATGACTGTAATCTCAGCACTTTGGGAAGCTGAGACAAGAGGACTCATTGAGGCCAGGTGTTCGAGACCATCCTGGGCAACATAGCAGGGCCCTGTCTCGACTGAAAAAAAGAATTGTTTTTAATTAGCTGGATGTGGTGGCTTGTACCTATGATCCCAGCTACTTGGGAGAATTGCTTGAGTCCAGGAGTCCAAGGCTGCACTGAGCTATGATCATGCCATTGTACTCCAGCATAGGCAACAGAGCAAGACTTTCTCTAAATTAAAATCACCCATGCTGGGTTTCACCCCCCAGAGTTTCTTACTGATTTGTCTGAGTTGCAACCTAGACACTGGGATTTTTAAACTCATCAGGTGATTCTAATGCATAGCCAACATTAAGAACCACTAGCATAGATGAAGTTATTCAAACTGGGCAGTAGAGTTAAGAAGCTATGAAATCATAAGATTCCCCAAAACTTCTGACTAGGCAATTAGATAAAATAAAAGTTTTTGTGCATCATAGGTCAGGTGAATTTGCCTGTATTAGAACTTGACTTCTTTATACATTTTTTCCTCCTCTCTGCTTCAGGATAGTCAATGAGGCTTCTACTGCACTGGCTGTGGATCTACGTAAACATCCAGTGGTTACATATTCATGCCTGCTCCTTTCAAATCAGAGCCTCTGACCTTGATCACTGATATATTTTCATGGCTTTCAAATGTTTTATTTAGCAGTCATTCTTGTATTCATTCAGAAGACGTAACACTGTGAGAAGCAGGCTACATTGACATACTTGCCATACTTAATATCATCATAGGAGCTAGGGCAAAAAAATCTTATCAAATGTAATGCAAATGGCCAGGTGTGGTGGCTCACGCGTGTAACCCCGGCACTTTGGGAGGCCGAGACTGATGGATCACCTGAGGTCAGGAGTTCAAGACCAGCCTGGCCAACAGGGTGAAACCCCGTCTCTACTAAAAATAGAAAAATTAGCCAGGTGTGGTGGCCTATGCTTGTAATCCCAGCTACGTGGGGGGCTGAGGCAGGAGAATGGCTTTACTCGGTAGAGGAAGGTTGCAGTGAGCCAAGATTGTGCCATTGTACTCTAGCCTGGGCGACAGAGTGAGACTCCATCTCAAAAAAAGAATGCTATTCTTGTGGATTAATGCTTTTGAACAAGCAATACACACACACAAAAGCTACATTTATTGAATCATATTAAAATATTAATATATTAAGCCTCACCTTTCTGAAATCTAAGCATTTCAGAAAGGTGAGGCTTAATATATTTTCACTTGTACAACACAATACAAACTTGCTACTACATGCACCCCTACACAGATAGCTGCCAAGATAATAAGATTAACTCTTGGAGTCATATGTCACTATTCATTTATAACTTATTCCTCACTTTGTTCTCTACTAGCATTTGCAAAGGAATGTCATGGTATAATAAAAAACGACCAGAGAAAACATTCATTCCTTAATTCAACTTTGAATATGAATGATGTGAAACAAGTCATGATTTGATCTGAGAAGCAGGGCACTCAGGCCCCCTGATTTCTGGATGTGTGTTCACTGCCTGCCAACCACTGTGCTGATGGCTGTGGTGGTTCGACTTGTGATTCAGATGAGTCTGGGTCCAACCAGCTCTGCCACACACATTGTGATATTACCGGGCAAGTCATCAACCAATCTAGGTTTCAAATGTCATTATTTGTAAATGGGGATGTTAACCCTGCCTCATAGGGTTGTATGATATAATGGGCTTTATGACTAATGTCCCTGGCATGAAAACCATCTCAATCTCCACCACACCCTGAAAGATATATAATATTAGTATGTATTATAAGACTTTTTTTTTAATAAGAGAAAACTCAGGCCTACAAGAATTAAAAAACTTACCCTAGGTTATTCCGATGCTATGTGCAAACCCAGACCCAAACTCCTTGTTCCAAATACTTCCCCCTGGCTTGAGAACAGTATGTGTATTCCCCAAAGTGGGGTACATTGTATTTCCAGTCTTATTTGAAGACTCAGTATTAGCCTTGAAATATAAACAGTATCAGATGCACCCAAAAGCCAAAGGTGATGAGGAAGAAATTAGAAGAGCTAGAGAATCACAATGATGAAATTAGAAAGCATCAGGTACATGGCCTCTTTCAAATCAATGGGAAGTCTCACGGATAACTGAGGATTTCTCTCCCAGCACTTTAGAAGAAGCTGAAACCTACCTCCCAGGCATCCAAGAACGTTGCTTTTCCACCTATCATTTTACCTTCATCATCTTTGGGAAAAAGGTCATCCCCAGACTGTAAATACAGAATACAAAGTTTACTGGAATCTGCATCAGGACACTTGGTTCTATTAAACAACATTTCAGGATCCTGACTCTTGCCAAATACCACAACTGCATACCACTTTTTCAAGCTCTGGAGTACATACTACAAGAATGTGACTTTAAATAAAATCTCCATATCTACTGTAGCATGTTAATCCTTATATTTTAGAAACTACTGGATTGACTTTATGATCTGCCATTAGTACATTCCAGAAGCCACCATTATCACCATGGACATTAACCTCATACACCTAGATCCCATATACACCCCACGGCAAACTTTCATTTCAATATTACTGGATTTCCAGGGAGTGGATCTCCAGGGAGTGATTTTCTGGGGGAAGATGGTGACCAACTTCTATCCTTGCAGCCTCTAGAAGAGGTGTTGAGTTAGGGATGGCAAGCCATCATCACCCCAGCTGGTTAGGAGGGGAGAGAGCTGGAAATCTGTCTCTCCCAACCCTCAGGAGCAGTAAGAGCAGAGCCCCTGGCAGTGGGTGCCACGTTGAGTGCTGGCTACCTTCCAGCATCACCATACTTGGGCTTTTCTCCAAGATGCCACTCCTGGGGTGTGCTTTGCTTAATAAGATAATTAAGCCCTAGAATATATTTATGCAAGAGTAACCCAAGAGATTTCCTGGGAGGGCAACCCTGGGGCGTGGAATCAAGACAAAGGTGGCAGTTGCAACTTGTCTGGGCTGTCAGAAATCATGGCTTCTCTCAGACATAACTGCAAGAAAACTCAGGCATGTGGTCACCTCAGCAGCACACATGGCCTCAGCCTCTCTTCCAGGCCAGTGTCTTTCTGATCCAAGGTCTCTTCTTGACCACCTGCCATTCCCAATTATGAAGCACAAAGCCTCCTGCTCCTGTCCACACCGCCCCCCAGCCCTGGTGCAGCTGCTATTTTCTGGCATCTGTTCAGAAACTAGAGGCTAAGAAAGGGAGTCACTCAAACCTTGAATCCTTGTGGCCAGTGAATAAGATAGACATCCAGATAGCTCAGTTTCAGGTCTTTGAGGGTCTTCTCACAGGCTTTCCTCACGAAGGGTCTCTCAAAGAAAGTGGGCCACAACTGCAAAGAGTGTGGCAATGAGCCATTAATACTGGGAAAAGGAAGGGCCACATCATACTCATTGTGTCTGCTTTTTGATTTGCACCCTGATCTAACCTGACACAGGCCATTTATAACAAAACTGATTAAGAACCATGATGCAGTGTGGAAGATCACCAGGGCTTAACACATTGATTACATGTCTGTGTGTGTGTGTGTGTGTGTGTGTGTGTGTGTGTGTGTCTGTGTGTGTGTGTGTGTGTGTGTGAGAGATAGAGAGAGAGAGAGAGAGAGAGAGAGAGAGAGAGACTGGCTCTGTCACCCAGGCTGGAGTGTAATGGTGCTATCTTGGGTCACTGCAACCTCTGACTCCTGGTTTTCGAGTGAATTTTCTGCCTCAGCCTCCTGAGTAGATGGGACTACAGGTGCCTGCCACCACACCTGTCTAATTTTTTTTTTTTTTTTTTTAGTAGAGATGGGGTTTTACCGTGTTAGGATGATCTCAATCTCCTTACCTCGTGATGTGCCCACCTGGGCCTCCCAAAGTGCTGGGATTATAGGCACGAGCCACTGTGCCTGGCCATGACATGTCTTAAGTGTTAAAAGCAATTTTCTTTTTTCAACCGTCCTAGCACTCTATATGTCTCTCAGATCATTTAGTAAATGTGGTCACAGATTTGATATTTGTTTACCTGTGTCAGTCCCTTCCTCAGCTGTCGGCTCGCAGTGCAGGACTTGTGTTTAGCTTTTAAATGTCAAGCATACTTAGGCCTTTGGGAGCAGATGGTCCTTTATCTGACCTATCTAATAGGTCCCTTAGCAAGCCTATCAGGCCCCAAGTCATAACTTTACAAGGGCTTTATCCAGGCTTGGCTACTACACAGTGGGGTCTATTTGTCCCACCAGATGCACGCATTTTCCAAGTACCTAGAACCAGCGTTTTATCAGCAAGTCGTGTATAATAGTGATCCAGTGATTCTCAACCTCCTCAAACCCAATATCCCCTTCTTCTTTATAACATTGTATACCTTACCTTTTACTAGACTGAACAAAGAATACCATATGTGACAATAAAAAAAAATGCCCCTACTGTTTTCCCAAATGCCCCCTGGCTGAGAACCTCAGGGGCACAGTGCTGCCAGGCAGGCTGCAGATCAAGGCCTGGCTGCACCCTTGGCCTCTGCCTCTGATGGGGAACAGGGAGATCCAGAACAGCACAGGGCTCCATGGAGCCAAGCCCACTGTGGGAAAACCAACCCACAGGCAGGTGAGGCAGCAGCAACATGTTGAATCTCAATAGCAGCATGGAGTGCGAATATCATTGTATCCATAGATGTTATCAAGGCAGAGATGAAAAGGGCTGGGGGAAAGAGTACATGTAGAAACGGCTGACAGCGTTCTTGCTGCTGACCCGGCCCAGATACTTCCGCCTGCCTTGAAGTGAAGCCCTCCCACCACATGCGCCACGTGTACCTTGCTGACAACGAAGAGGTCCTCCCGCTTCACAGCCTTCTCTTGGATCTTCTCTTGGATGGCCTCCCCCACCTCATGCTCATTCTGATACACATAGGCACAGTCAATGTGGCGATATCCTGCGTCAATGGCCGCCTTCACAGCTTCTTTCACTTTGCCGACAGGAGACTGAAAGGTAGAAGGAAAGCCCATCACACATGTATTTTTGTGTGTGTAAGAAATGGCGTCTTGCCATGTTGCCCAGGCTAGCCTCACACTCCCAGGTTCTAGCAATCCTCCCACCTCCCGAGTAGCTGGAATTACACCACACTCAGCAACTATCATATTCTCTTATCCCCAGACGGCCTTCAACAGGCTGCACAGTTTTTCCCAACCAAGGCCTTACTGGGGTCTCATTTGCCAGGGGATATCTGGGAGGATACACACTTCAGAAAAGCTTTCGAAAGAAAAGAAGGAAAGTGAATTAATTGTATGATTATGGCCTTATGTCCTATCCTAGCTAAAGATCAGTTCCCTTCTCATGCAGGTTAGTCCTGAAATGTCCTCAGGTGTGTGGGAGTGCAGGTGGCTCCACTGCAGCGTTCTGAAGACCCAGGTGAAAGCTTGACTCTAAATAACCCAGAGGGATTTTCAGCAACATCCCCACATGGCAATAGGGAGCTGGATAATGGTCATTACAGCATCAGTCCAGATTCCAACACTTAACTGGGTGAGCGGGCCTAAGCAGGTGATTCAATCTTTCTAAGCCTTGTCTGCAAAATGGGAAAAAGAATAGCACCAGCCTCATGAGGCCTTTGTGGCAATGACATGCTGCAATGAATGCTGAGTTTTCAGCACATCACCAGACACGCAGTAAGTCTCAGCAGAACCCGTCCGTTATACAATGATAGTTTCAGAAAAAAAGGAGAAATACAAAACTTATAGGAATAGAGCTTCTTTTCCATTCCTATAAGAAGAAATAGGGAAGGAGGGAGAGGGAGACGAAGAGAGAGGAGAGAAAGAGGGGAAAGAAGAAAAGAAATAGTATTAGAATTACCACATTTTGTTCTAACCCAGTCAAGCCAATGATGGGGGAAAAGCACTTAAAACTTGATCTCTTGACAAAATAGTTTTTTAAACCTCTTCTATTGTGAGATAACAAACATTGAAAAGTACACAAAACAGAGATGCATAGCTGTCCTACCACAGGGACAAGAAATGGGCTGCTGCCAGCCACCCAGAAGCACCCCTGTACCCCCAGCTGCTACGCTACAACCTTCTGCACCTCCACTGCTAAGTTCATTTTTTTTTTTTTTTTTTTTTTTTGAGACGGAGTTTCGCTCTTGTTACCCAGGCTGGAGTGCAATGGCACGATCTCGGCTCATCGCAACCTCCGCCTCCTGGGTTCAGGCAATTCTCCTGCCTCAGCCTCCTGAGTAGCTGGGATTACAGGCACGTACCACCATGCCCAGCTAATTTTTTGTATTTTTAGTAGAGACGGGGTTTCACCATGTTGACCAGGATGGTCTTGATCTCTTGACCTCGCGATCCACCCGCCTCTGCCTCCCAAAGTGCTGGGATTACAGGCTTGAGCCACCGCGCCCGGCCACTGCTAAGTTCATAATCCTTCAGTCTGTCATCCCCACGTGCTGAAGACGGCTCCCTTCCTAGTTCTCACATTCAATTCCAAAATTCTGAAACTGTCTGGAAAACTTATCCAGGGTGAGCCGATTCCCCGGCGATCTGGAAGTGATTATTTGTTCCGTTTATATAGATTGAAGCTCTGATTTTGGGCAAACCTTGCTATTCAAGCAAGAGACGCTGTGCATGAATCAAGCTGGAACTGATCTGTGCACCCGGATGGACCAAGAGAATGACGCAGTGCTGCAACAGAGGGTCCTACCCTCCAGCCCAGGACAAGACAGGGGAAAAATCAGGGTGCACAGAAGGAAAGAGATTCAGCAGGCAGACTAGCCATGAGGGACAGGAGAGAAGAGGAACTCCAAAGTCTGCTTCTTCTAGTCACTAGTTAGGGTATTGCTATCATGGATGGAAATGGCAAAGAAGGCAGAGTGAGGTGGTGATGGAACAACTTCAAACTTGGCCTAAGAGAGGCTCAGGAACCTGCCTCACTGAGTCCTGGCTGTGCCTTACCTCGTTTTGCCAGCTGACATTAACACAGCCAGGTGGAGTTCACAACTCCCAGCCCAGGCTCTCTGCAGTCCCAGCATGTTGCAGATTCCACTGTGTCCAGGAACAACCTAGGGATCTTGTTAAAGTGCAGATGCCCATGAGGTAGCCTGGGGTGGAGCCCGAAACTGCATTTTTTTCTCTTTCCTTCTCTTCTCTTCTCTTCCCTTCTCTTCTCTCTCTTCTTTCTCACAAGCTCTAATTTTGTTGCCCAGACTGGAGTGCAGTCGCACAATCACCGCTCACTGCAGCCTTGACCTCTCAGGCTCGACTCTCAATCTCCACCTCAGCTTCCCAAGTGGCTGGGACTACAGGTGCATGCCACCATGCCCAGCTAATTTACTTATTCTTTGTTGAAATGGGGTCTTGCCATGTTGCCCAGGCTGTTCTCCAGCTCCTGGGCTCAAGCAATCCTCCTGTCTCCATCTCCCAAAGTGCTGGATTTACAAGCATGAGCCACCACGCCTGGCCAGTTCTGCATTTCTAACAAGCTCTCAAGTCTGACAGATGCTGCTAGTCCAATTCCCACACCATCTGCAGAGGGGTGCCAGGGACTTCCGGGTTTTCATCCTCTCCTCAACCACCCAGCCCACAACAAACCCACAGCCAAGACTCCGGGAAAATGTTAAGCCCAACTAAGTGTCCTAGAGCCAGAGAGAAACTTCCCTGGAAAACAATTTTAAGGCCAACTGCTGCTTGAAATCTGATACTTGCTAAAGAAACTCTCCTCACTGCTGTGAAAAGCCAGCTTTGGAGCTATGCAGCCTGAATCAGCTCTGAGAAAATAAAGCAACCTGAGTCCCGGCTCCAGGACTGAACCTCATCTCTCCAAACGCCTACCGGATCCCCAGGCTTTCCTGGCTGAATGCAGAAAGAGAAAACAGCCTAACGCCCCTACAGAGAAGAGGGGTGTGCAAAGATTTGCATATTTACCTTCCAAGTGCCCAGGCCCACAATGGGCATCTTGGCTTTGGTACTGAGCTCCACAAAGGTGGCCATGGTTGGTGCAGAAATGATTCTGCGTCAGCAGGTAGAAGTCTCACGTCCTGCTTTTTTTGTTGTTTTTGAGACGGAGCCTCGCTCTGTCGCCCAGGCTGGAGCGCAGTGATGCGATCTCGGCTCACTGCAACCTCTGTCTCCCAGGTTCAAGAAATTCTCCCTCAGCCTCTCGAGAAGCTGGGATTACAGACACCCGCCACCACTCCTGGCAAATTGTATTTTTAGTAGATTCAGGGTTTCACCGTGTTAGCCAGGCTGGTCTCAAATTCCTGACCTCAGGTGACGGACCGCCTTGGCCTTCCAAAGTCCTGGGATTGCAGGCGTGAGCCCCGTCCTGCTTAAGAAGGCTGGTGCTGGCTGCAGTGGGAGGAGTTGGAGCCTGGCCACAGTAGCTTCCCCGCCCTATCCAAACAGGAAATAAATTCCCGGCTTTTGTGAGATCGAGGATCATTGTGAATGAATTATGAAATGTGGCAACCTTGTGAACAGTTTTACCTTAGATAATAGTATTATTATCGGAGTTTTTCCTTGTTCATCATGACTCAACAAATTCAACACAGCCAAAAGTGGAAAAGTAGGGAAGGAGAGAGAAAGAAAGGAAAGAAGAGTGGGGGGAGGGAGGGAAGGAATGAGGGAAAAGTAAGGAAGAGAGAAAAGAGAAAGAATAATACAGAAAAAGGAGAGGAAGGAAGGAGGGAAGGAAGGAAGGACGGAGGGAGGGATGGGAAAGAAAAGGAAAAAAAAAAAAAGAAAGAAGCCTGGCCAACATGGTGAAACCCTGTGTCTCCTAAAAATACAAAATTTAGCCTGGTGTAGTGGCACAAATCTGTGATCCCAGCTACTTGGGAGGCTGAGTCAGGAGAATTGTTGAACCTGGGAGGCAGGGGTTGCGGTGAACCAAGATCGTGCCACTACACTCCAGCCTAGGTGACAGAGTGAGACCCTGTCAAAAAAAAAAAGAAGGAAGGAAACAAGGAAGGAGGGAGGGAGGGAGGGAGGGAAAAAGGAAGGAAGGAAGGAAGGAAGGGAGGGAGGGAGGGAGGGAGGGAGGGAGGAAGGAAGGAAGGAAGGAAGGAAGGAAGGAAGGAAGGAAGGAAGGTAAAGCAAAGCAAAAAAGCAAAGAAGGAAGAAAAAACAAGAGCTTTCTTTCCCTGTGATGGTTTCTTCTGTGAAATGGAGTCTAGGGAGGAGAGGTGAGAAGCAGTGTTTCCATTTTAAAAGTTGCAGTTCCAATTTCAGTGCATAGAGGGTCAAATCCTGACCTTATTAGAATCAGCAATAATTAGTTGGTAGTCAGAAATCTAGGGAACATGACACAGGCCTGTGCCATGCTCTGACAGGCCATGACAGGCCTGTGTCATGTCACAGCATCAGTTTCAGCCTGCAGGTAGTAGGTTTTTCTGTCTTTTACGTGTTCTTGTTTATGAGTTGGCTTTGGTTGAATCCTGAAATGGACTTTAATCTCTAGGCTGTGGCTTAGGACAGCTCATAGAGGTCAATTGGCATGATATTTTGTACCTATGAGTGATACACTTCACTGATATTTGTTAAATTACTTCAACATTAGTAGTACATGCATGGGCCAGGCACTGTGGCTCCTGTCTGTAATCCCAGCACTTTGGGAGGCCGGGGCAGGCGGATCACTTGAGCTCAGGAGTTTGAGACCAGCCTGGCCAACATGGTGAAACCCTGTCTCTGCAAAAAATCCAAAAATTAGCCATGTGTGGTGACACGTACCTGTAGTCCCAACCGTTTGGGAGGCTAAGGCATGATAATCACTTGAACCTGGGAGGTGGAGATTGCAGTGAGCCAAGATCATGCCACTGCACTCCAGCCTGGGCGACAGAGTGAGACTCTGCCTCAAAAACAAATAAATACATACATGCATGGCTCATAATCTGGTGGCCACAAAGTCTCATGGATCTGCACATGAGGGCACATTATTTTCCCAGTGTATACTGGATAACATGCAATGCCAATATTGTTCAAATAGCAAATCTTTTGTGACTGTCAACCTAAATAACAGAGAGAGGGTCCCTCAAAGAAAAATATTTCTCTGGGAATAGAGCACTGCAATGGGAATATGCGAGCCACCGTAAACTATGTGTATATTTGGGGAAATAAAGGAAGCCAACATTTTTTCAAGAAAAACAATGAAGATTATCTAATTGTTTTGAAGTAATTAGGCTTGGCTACAAAGACCTATCGTGAAAGTGATGTTAGTCTGAGATTGGACAGGCAGTTGTTCAGAAGTCCTTGCAGAGTATGTTTTGTGTTCAGTTGCAGTGGCCTTTGTTCAAAGTTGTGGTTTTTGCAGTCTTTTGTGGTAGTTTTGGTTTTCAGGTGTACAACCATTAGAACCCTCTTTTTTTTTTTTTTTTTTTTTTTTTTGAGTCTGAGTTTTGCTCTTGTTGCCCAGGCTGGAGTGCAGTGGCATGATCTTGGCTCACCACAACCTCCACTTCCCAGATTCAAGTGATTCTCCTGCCTCGCCCTCCCAAGTAGCTAGAATTACAGGCATGCACCACCACAGTCACTAATTTTTGTATTTTTAGTAGAGATGGCGTTTCACCATCTTGGCCAGGCTGGTCTTGAACTCCTGACCTTGTGACCCACCCACTTTGGCCTCTCAAAGTGCTAGGATTACAGGCGTGAGCCACTGCACCTGGCCTAGAGCCTTCTTTTCAGAGTCTCACTCTGTTGCCAGGCTGGAGTGCAGCGGCACAATCTCGGCTCACTGCAACCTCTACCTCCCAGGTTCAAGAGATTCTCCTGCCTCAGTCTCCTGAGTAGCTGGGACTATAGGTGCAGACCACCACACTCAGCTAATTTTTGTATTTTTAGTAGAGATGGGGTTTCACCATGTTGGCCAGGATGGTCTTGAACTCTTGACCTCGTGATATACCCACCTCAGCCTCCCAAAGTGCTGGGATTACAGGCGTGAGCCACTGCACCAGACCTGTCAGAGTATTTTGTTTGTTTGTTTTTAACATTAGTGACTCCATTTTGATTCTGACCATTTTCACATGACACACAGAATAAAGAAATGTGTATTAGTCATAATAATATTC